ATTTGCTTGAGTGTTGAATTTTATGAACGGGAGCAGATATAAATACTATCTTAAAACATACCGTGGACAGCGTTGACATTCCTTTTTTCCATCTGGTATAAAAGGGAAGCTGCAAACAATGGCAACCACGCCTTTGTCCTCCTGCTTTCCCATTCCTTGTCTGCATAATATGGAGCTAAAATAATTGCCAGTTCTGGCTTTAGCTTTTCTTGTCAAAATTGTCCTCTTTTTGCCATCTGTTCCACAGTCTTACCGCTGCCCTAAACCGGCATTTTTTGATACCCATGATCACTTAAAGCCATGAACATATTGTAGCAAAGTCCATTTCTTTAGTTTTAGCTAAAAGTAAAATAAATCAAATCCTGGAAATGAAAACAGAGCTTCTTCATTTGTTGGAATAAAAACTTTTTTTTAGTGTGGTTTCCTAAAGAAGGAAGGTTTACGGGATTGAGCTGTTTGTCCATCTGCTTTTCAGTTCATCCTTAATAACTTTTGAACAATTTCATCCAGATTTGGTGGGGAATAAAAGTCTCAAAGGTAATTGATTTCTACAAGAAAACTGGAGGCTGGGTGGAGGAGAGAGACAAAAATAGGTGTCCCCACTGTCTGCAGCATAAGCTTAACAATAATCTGTGCTTAGGCTTTTGCTAGCCAAGTTGCAAGTGTGTACTGGCTGCCTAGGTACTGCAGTAATCTCAGAGTTTCCAGAGCATGTTACTAAGTCTTGCTTAGGCAGAAGCTGAGGGGCCATGAAAGGGAGACAAGGGCAAAGGGAGTGTTGCTGGGGAACTGGAAATTTAGGGAAAGGATTAAATCAATGTAAATTGGGGCTATTGGAGCTATTGGTAGTTTTATGATTGATGGACCAGTTTGCTTTCAGATTCCATATGGTACTGCAGTTTGTTGATATCTGGCTTCTCAGAGATTTGTCTCTCAAGGGTGCCTCTGTGGTGTTTGCCTGGCTGTGTGTCGTGGTTTAACTCCAGCCAGCAACTAAGCACCCCACAGCTGCTCACTCACTCCCCCCGGCTGGGATGGGGAAGAGAATCAGAAGAGTAAAAGTGAGAAAACGCGTGGGTTGAGATAAAGACAGTTTAATAGGGAAAGCAAAAGCCGCACACGCAAGCAAAGCAAAACAAGGAATTCATTCACTACTTCCCATTGGCAGGCAGGTGTTCAGCCATCTCCAGGAAAGCAGGGCTCCATCACGTGTAACTGTTACTTGGGAAGACAAACGCCATCACTCCGAACGTCCCTCCCTTCCTCCTTCTTCCCCCAGCTGTATATGCTGAGCATGACGTCATATGGTATGGAATATCCCTTTGGTCATTTGGGGTCAGCTGTCCTGGCTGTGTCCCCTCCCACCTTCTTGTGCACCCCCAGCCTACTTGCTGGTGGGGTGGTGTGAGAGGCAGAAAAGGCCTTGACTCTGTGTCAGCACTGCTCAGCAGTAACTAAAACATCCCTGTATTATCAACACTGTTTCCAGCACAAATCCAAAACATAGCCTTGTATTAGCTACTATGAAGTAAATTAACTCTATGCCAGCCAAAACCAGCACACTTTGAAATAACCAAAATGTAAGAAAGTACTTACGTTGTGCTCAGAGAAAGTCAGCACTCTGAAGTGGAGCCAGGTAGTTACTTTGGCAAATGTTTTTTTCACTCAAAATGCTGTTTTAAGCTAGACAGAACAAGCTGTGAATTTAGATGGAATTAAGTCAATAGTTTCTGCTGGAAAAAAATGGAGAAGAATGCTGGAAAATAAATTCCCGTAATATTTTATTTTTCCAGGGTCAAGACATTAGTTGAATGAGCACTTTTAACAAAATCAGGATGGAAAATGTAGGGAGGGTGACTCCTATAAAGGGGGTGTATTGGCACAGGATATAGGAGCCCTGCATTTGCAACACTTTCTGCAGAAACTTGAATTTGTACAACCAAATTCATTAGGTGTATCATTTGCAAAATCTCTTCCTATCTCTTGCATTTGGCAGAAGTAGGGCACTGGGCTTTCTTGTATATGCATTGGGTAAAATATTCATATTCCTGTGTCCGTGGTGACAGTGGGAAGGAACTACCACCTGGAATTATTCATTGCCTGTGTCTCTGTTTTTCATTGGTTTCTTTTGTCCTGGGCAAGCGCTGGAGATCCTGAGCGTACTTGCAGTCATGAGTCAGTGACAACCTCATGCTATTATTGTAAATAGCAACACGAACACTGTTCTTGCGTGCATATTTTAACGGGCTTTGTCTTCTTCTCCCAACACTCCAGCCAAGGAATTTACAGAGCTTCTGAGTCAGCAATCAGCTGCCTCGAGACAAAACATGCAGGATACTGCAGACTTGCAGAATAGCCAACAAGGCATACAAATATCCTGGAAACCTGGCAAATAATTCTTGCCTGCCCTTGCTTTGCCTCCTGTAATTTCCATGATCTCTGACGTGTTGCTTGCGGGTTCCAAGAGCTTTGGGTGTTTACATCAAGAATGCAGAGTTCTGGGGAGTGACTAATTGCAGTGACTGAAGCCTCTGTAATTGACCTGTGGGCATAACTGACTTCACAGCCTGCATGAAATGGGATGTCAGCAGAACTGCTATATTAGCGTGCCGCTTGGGTTGTGCTGCGTAAAATGACCTGCTTTTGCAGGTTTGTCTTCTGGCTTGGCAAAGCCTGAACACAAAGCAGTAAGTTCCTAGAATGAAAGTAGGTTGGATTTTAACTTCGGGATCTCTCTGAGCAGTGCAGAACCAGTGCCACTTCACTCCTGTGGTGAAAGAGGACAATAGAAGCAAGAGTAAGAAATGAAATCTGTGTTGTCCTTACATCTGGATATATCGGTAATGGACTGTGGACTAACAGACTTAAATGGCCACTTCACTGAATTTAGGTCATATAACTTCTATTGCTTTTTCTTAGGACACCTGGAACGCTGGTGTAAAGTGAGTGTTTGGGTGAGTGGGGTGCAAGAGGTGGGGGAAACATAACACAAAACAGTATTCAACTTGCAGTGTTGTGCTGATTAATGAGGTATAGGGCTTTAGCCTGTAGGTATTTTGTTGTATCCGTATTACACAGACGCGCTGAAATTACTTCTTCAGTGTAAGAGGTTATTTGTTAGAGCTCTTTATAACATTCCTCTTGAGAACAGAAGAGGAGACACAGGCTTAAAGCACAGTGTCTTAGACCTCTGCAGTAGTGCAGTGGTTACCCTGAGGTGCAAGCCTGGAGCATGTTTCCAGCTTCACAACAGTAAAGTTAAGATTAAAAATAAGGAAAGCAGTTAGTTTGATCTGCATGATACGGACATGGCATCACTATCAGGCAGTTAGAAAAACAGCTTCATGTGTACTGAGTCCTCTAAGGCAGTTGTCCTAATAAAGTCAGAATCACGTTCTCCGGTATAACCCATTATTGTACTGTGGCTTCTGTAGGAAATTTTATTTTTAGTAACAAACAGTTTGTGGCTGTATGTAAAGGTTTCCAGGTCTCCTTTGCTATTTCTAAATGTAAGCAGTAAATACCATGTTAGGGTGAAATGCAGGAGTGCCCAAATAAACTGCTGCAGAGCTGTCATTTGGGAGGGGAAGAGACATGAGCTGTAATGTTTGACTTGGCTTCCTGTCTGCTGGAAGCAGGAAAAGAGCTAGTGAGAATCTAAAAGCTTTTATCCGAGTCCACATATTTCCTTTTTCACCTTAATACCCTTTGCAAAAAAACAAAGGACAAAAAGCACCTCAGAAATGCTTTCACTTCCATAGTTCCCGCATGTGTTCCCATGCTGCCGTCCTATCTGAAGACAAACAGAACTATTCTTTCTTAGAGAGCAGAGTAATCTATTATATGTATGTACTTAGTACTATGTATAAAAGGAAAAAAGAGATTTATTATATATATAAGAGAGAGAGGGAGAGAATGTATCTATTCTTTAAACAAAATCTGCTATTTGTGATCCAAACAATTCATTCTGTAGGTCTGCAGGCTGCTTCTGAGGGTTCCCAGAAAGGCAACTAAGAGTAGCAGACCTCCTGTTAGCATATTTAATCTGCTGAGGAGCCCAACTACCACCTAAAATTTTATAGGGACCTGCATATCAAAAGAAGTTGAAAACCACAGAATAGAGGAACTACTATGTGAATCTCACGAGGATCATGCATCAGCCACATTTCACTCTTATGCTGCTTACTTACCGACAGGAATATATGTGTAGACTCTAGGTAAGGCAAATGTTTATACTGCTTGATGCAACACAGACAGGCTTTTTTTTTTCAGTCTTGACATCTTTTCTTAGGCATTTGATTGCTTTTAGCAGGTTTAACTTCTTTCTAGGATTGCAGTAGCCATCACTGGGTTTGTTATGTCACTGTACAAAAGCAGTGTTTGCAAGGACTCTGACAGAGACATCAGCTTGTGCTATGCCATCCTCTTTCCTCTTCTCTATTTATCATGAGCAAAGATACATGTCCTTTTAGAATGAAGGAACCAAAACGTATTTTACTGGTGGAATACCAACTCCTGAAGTACTTTGTAGTAGTAGTGTTTTTAAGACCAGCGCGTAACCATTGCTGTGGTGTTACCACAGTGATCTGGCTATCACAGTGACTGCTACATTAGTAAGTCTATCTTTTGTTTTAAAACCTCTGCCTACTTCCAAACATCACATAACATCTGCCAGCTTACTTGTAACTTCTCTGCTCTTCATGTGAAATGAGTTTTGATAAAACTTTCTAGGGACTGGCTCAGGTAAAGTATTTTGTGATTTAACAGAGGTGAGATGTCCCACTGTCAGCAGTGAGGCTCAGTGAGCTTTGGAAGGTTCCGCTTCAGTCAAATTGGGCAGGACTTCTTGCGGTATTGATCAGTTGGCTTATTTTGGACTGATGCTTTATTAGTTACTGAGAATCTGGGCTCTCAGTTCAGCAGGCTTAGACAAAATTTTGGAAAGAAAAAAAAAAAAGAGCAAGCTCAGTTACATTTTCTTCTTTTTATTTTATAGGTTGATAATGCTTGTAAGCCAGACGTGAAGGTGGCTCAACAGAGCAACATCGGGAAATCTGGCAGACTGGAAGAGAACAGCTGCCCCCCAGGGCAGCTGCGAAGTGTGAAGCATGGAGGAAAGTAAGAATGAGAAGGTGAACCAGGCTCATGTTCTCTTTGACAGATTTGTCCAGGCTTCAACCTGCAAGGGGACTCTCAAGGCTTTCCAAGAGCTCTGTGACTACCTAGAACTAAAGCCCAAGGACTATCGTTCTTTCTACCACAAACTCAAGTCCAAGCTAAATTACTGGAAAGCCAAAGCCTTGTGGGCCAAATTGGATAAAAGAGGCAGCCATAAGGACTATAAGAAGGGGAAAGCGTGCGCCAACACGAAGGTAAGATTTATTCACGGTGGTCAAGACAACTGTTACCCAGTTTGTTCTGGAATACACAATAAAAGTGTCTCGATGTGGAAAGATGTTTGCATCGTGTCAGTATAAGCCCAGGGAAGATTTAGGAATGTTCTCACACATATTATTTATAATATAGTCACAATTTGTTAGTATTTGACTCTCAATCAAAAATTGTGTTTGCTACTACCAAATTTGACTGCCCGCCTGAATAGGGGAAGCTAAATGGAAATCCTTGGGAATGACCAGAATATTTGTAATTTATTCAGGAGAAGCAGTCTGCAAGTTTCTATGTTTTATGTTTTTGTGGCATCAATACTATAGATGGGTTAGAAAATCTTAACTCGTAAACCTTTAATCTTGGTTGGCTTTTTTTTTTTTACATTTTTTTACTAGGCAATAACAGAGACATGAAATCTGCTGTTGGAGTCTAGATAAAAAATATGTATGTTTGGAAATTTCCAATTTTAATTAGAAAGTTCTCATGAGTCTCTCAAGAAAAGTGAGTGGCATCAATACTATAGATGGGTTAGAAAATCTTAACTCGTAAACCTTTAATCTTGGTTGGCTTTTTTTTTTTTACATTTTTTTACTAGGCAATAACAGAGACATGAAATCTGCTGTTGGAGTCTAGATAAAAAATATGTATGTTTGGAAATTTCCAATTTTAATTAGAAAGTTCTCATGAGTCTCTCAAGAAAAGTGAACTTTTTTGCCAGTTCGGCAAAATATTCTATTTACCATTATTTAGAAAGTAATAACTTGTATTCCAGGTTCAGAGAAAAAAAATGCGGTGGAAACTCATACCAATTCCTTTTAAAAGGTTGGTATGTGTGGTATGTACTGCAGGAATTCCTGCTTTTACACATACACCCCAATTTTTTTAACCTGAATTATTGTGAGCTGGTATTTATGTGCTGCACCCTTGTTGGACTGTACAGTATGAGTTTATTTATTTGTTCTGTTGTTACTGAAAGCAATTCTTTATATCATTCATTAAAATGTGAATGGAATAGGTTATTTTCGCAAATAACCATACACTCTTTTTTAAAAAAGGAAGATAGTGCGGAATATGATAAAATTAGAACAGGATTCTGTCCTCCATTGAGGACAATAGATGCTGCTTCTCTTCTTGAATATTCACCTTTTGGGAGAAGGAAATATCTTAATAGGAGGCATTAATGACTTAATTCCTCAGTGGAGAACTGAGGGGGAAATATATCCTGTTTAGGATATGTCAGTCATTCCAGATCTGTGGACTGAAGTTTAATTCTCAACTAGATATTAGAAAGTTATGTTAGTTTCTTGATTGTTCATTCTGTTTCACTTTCCAGTGGCCATTTTCATATGGATGGTGGCATTTATAATAAATTACTACAATAACACATGGAAAAATTACTAATGGACCAAGGTCCACTTGTCCTAGGTCTTGTAAACTTTTTGAGGAAAGCATTATCTTTACAGTTGGTACATCAGATTATAGGTTGCAGGTGCATATAGATTAATCTGGAAAACAGTAAAACAATCGGGCAGTGTTGGTCATCACAGTGGGCACTAGCTTCAACACTTCAAAAGTCCAACCACTGTTAAGGTTTATATTTTTCAGGCAGCATAAGAAAGGAAGGACTTACAGGAAGATAAATGTAGTGATTTTTGTGTATATTTAGGAATAAACCTTCCAAGCACTATGGACATCATGGGGAAAAATTTAAAATTGTTTTTCTGAAAACTCAACTGCACTTTGCATTCATTGTATTCAGGAATTGGTCTTATTTTGAATTAAACATGGTGAGTAGTTGAAGGCTGTGAAATGAAGACAGGTGGCTTATGTTTCAATGAGAAAGAGCTTGAGCAAGCTGTGGAAGAGTGTAGAGGTATTTTAACTTACTTGAAGTAATAGATTAAAAGAGTGATTTTGCATCTGGGCTCTGAATATATCTTAGTGGGCAAGATTGTATTTAGCACTGAAGAAAAGGTTGCATCGGTAATAGAGATGCAACATGAAAGAAGAGATTTAATGGAAGAATAAGTCTGACTTTGATAGTGCTTGATTATGAAGATGTACCAAAAAATAGATACAAGTGGAGGCTGACATCCAGCTATGAAAGACATTCAGAAAATTGGTTGTGACACTTATCTAGAAGGGAAATGGTGAGGTGAGTTTAGAAGGACATTAGAACTCCATTTTATCATGTTGGGCTTGAACTGACAACTAGGCAGCCATGAGGAACTGTCAGAAATGTAGAGATTTTAGCTTGGACAAAAAGTGTTCAACTCTGAGTTGGCAAAGTTCTGTGAATCTACAGCACTGACAAGCTGATTGAACCAGTACATGGGAATGACGTGATGCAAAGGCAAATTGTAGAGGAAGATGGTAAAGAGATGAAGGGCGAAGCCCTGTGGGAAGTTGGCAGTGAGAGGAGTGGGAGAAATGAGGGACATCCTTCAGAGAGTGCTCTGAAAGAATAGCTGGAGACATAGAGGACTACTGAGTTTTAAAAGAAATCAGAAAAGGACACGCTTTCAAGAAATACATGTAGCCAACTGTCTATAAAACATCTCTTCAAGTGCAGTTGAAAAGTGGCTAGAAGGGATAAAGTGTACTGGGGGTGATGTTTGACTAAGGAGTTTGCTAGAGATTTTGTATAGTCCCAAAGCTTAGCCTATTTTGTGCACCAAAGTCAAGCTAGAGAGAGTATAGGATGGAATTGGAGAAACGAGATCAAGAGAATGATTGTAGAAGTGGCATGCGGTGATCTTGGAGATGAGATGGTGGTGAGATAAACAGAGACACTCATGGGGTCATGCATGACTCTCCCTCATTTAATGATGGGAGAGAAACCTCAGAACTTGCTGGTGTTGGTGTGAAGGACCAGAGGGGTGAACGATTGCAGTGAACATGTCAGTGATCACGCTGAACTGGTCTCTACTAGAGGAAAGAGAGGGCTTATTCCGTAGCTGATCTGCGTGGGTGACAGGGAGAAGAGAGAGAGTAAAGGAAAAAAGGAGGGGGAGTGGAGGCAAGCCACTCTCCACAAGGAGAGTACTTTGCCAGTGTTTCTAAGAAGCTGTTGGTGAGACACTGTATAGAAACACAAGTAAAAAGGATGGATGATGAAAAAATTAAAGATGGCACCCCCTCTGCCCTAACCCAAAGACATATAGGACTGTGAATTTGGGAATCACGCCATTTTGAGTAGTGAAATTAGTAGCTGAGAGAAAGTGAAATTCAGTTGTGGTTTGGTTTTTTTTTGTTAGTATGTCTTCAAGAATGTATACCTGTGATGATAAATGATTTTTGTATGGCTTTACGTATAAAATTTGTTGAAATTTTTAATGTAAAGAAATGATAAATATATGTATTTTTATATTTTTCATAATGTTTCTGTTACTTCCTTGTTTCCTATCCTAATAGTATCTGCCATTAAATGTTTATATGTAATTCCTAAGATATAATCATAACTATTCAAAGTAGGTGTCTTTTGAGAACTGAATCACATCTGATTTGATGTTTCCTATCTAAATTAGTTTTATATTCCTAACGTTTAATGTAGCTTGCAAACCACTGATAAAAAATACAGAAATTCAAGCGTGCATGTGGAGATGATAGAATTTAAAATAAAGATTAGGGTTTTAGCCATGTTGTCAGAACAGAAGTCAGTCATTTCTTTAGTAAGCTCAGCTTCTATACACTTGAACATATACCAGTTTTGAAGTTCTTATCCTCTGTAGCGTAGCTCTTACTTGTCCATTTAAAAATTGGTCAGGGGTGGAGTGCTGTGACTGGAGTTGGGCAGTAGTTAGGCAGTGCATCATATGGCCAGCATCCAGGTTAACCAGAATTCAGATAATGAGCATTCCTGAAAGCAAGACTTGGACGTGGTGGGTTGTTCAGATGTAAATAGATACAAATGGTGCTCTCTTTTCATTGGTTATACAGAGAATGCAGGATTTCAGTTTGCATTTAATGTTCCATTACCATGGTGTTGTTACTGAAAACTTAATATAATCTGTCTGAAAGATCTTGAGTAAGAAGTGTTTCTGAGGGGTGAGACGGCTTTAGTGCATGGAGTTGCAGCAGCTGCTTGGAGTCATGGAGGGGAAAGGGAACAAGGACCAGCAGTAGCTGCCTTTAGTTACTTGGCTGTACTTGTCATCTCATGTAGTTACTGCTGCCTGTGAGAGTATCAGAAGGTAGGTTTCTACGGGAGATCTGAAACTGGAAGAAGTGTTAGAGGTGGAAAAGGGAGCAGAATCTTTTATCCTGTTTTTAATTGTGCTTGAAACTTGCTGTGTTTTATAACAACATAATTTAATATTTTTGTGATGGTAAAAAAAAAAAAAAAGGCAACTTTGGCCATGAATTACTTCACTGAGTATCATATATTTTACACCCAGAACATCTAGAGTCTTAAACATAACCTAGATGTTGTTAACCACATCCTTGTTTGGGGGCAGGGGGGAAGGCTGTAGAGAAAAAAAAATGCTTTTACATTTCTATGACAAAATTACAGGCAATTAATTTATAATTTGATTACATAGACCTGAGTTTGAAAAGTTTGATTTTAGTACAATTCCTTTGCTGTTGTATATTCCATTGTAAATATTTTATATGGGGAAGGTTATCAAAGAATAAGTCACCCAACTTAGTGTGGTCTTGTTGCTTATTGAATCCAGTCTCTTTGAAGATTGTAGTTATCAGATGAGCAAAATTATTACCTGAATAAATATGATACGCTCAGCTAATTTTCTTACAAGTTTAAAAAAAGAAAGACTAAGTGGTGTTTGAGAGTTATACTTACCCACAAAGAAAACAATATTAAATTGGAAGAATATCATAGAATAGTTTGGGTTGGAAGGGACCTCTATAAAGGTCATCTAGTCCAACCCCCCTGCTGTGGGCAGGGACATCTTCAACTAAATCAGGTTGCTCAGAGCCCCGTCCAACCTGACCTTGAAGGTTTCCAGGGATGGGGCATCCACCAC